TGGTTGTCAACATTTTAAGCATAACAAAATGTGACCAGACTTCAATGAAAATGATTCACTTATGTAAAAGTACATATGACATTTTGTGAAAAATCTATAAGTGATGAAGACAAATGGATATCATTTTCGGATTCAGCATACAGAAATTACTGTACAACGTGTAAAAATTTCAAGACAATAACACAATCACAGGCCTGTGTAATCAGTATGTATAATATGACAACAGAAACAAATTTCATTAATGATCAACTGTGACAAATGATAACCACTCTCCAAAACATGATCATTACAGGAATAACCAGTTCAATGCCAATGAACATAATGTGAACTACAGAGCATCAAATGAAGTGATCATCTGTGATCAAAGAGTAAGGAATACACAATGAGCTATCTACAAAAAGTCGTTCTAATTTTGAGTTGCTAGTTTAGGATGGGCCCTTGGGCTTCTTGTGTTCTACTGAACAGTGGGATTTGACCAATGGCAGCAAAGTGTAGGGTGCATTTTTGAAGCAACAGTACCTGAATCACGAACTCTTAGGTTCACAACTCAAACACAATAACCATTTAAGCCATACCTTGCTCATCAAGATCTACTTCACCCTTACATTTGACTGCTCATAGCAAGTAACAGACGTTATGAATTTGGCTAAAGTTCAAGCAAAATCTGTTTTTGTCTTGCAGTTAACTGCACACCTCGTTTAAACTTTTGTAGAAATCACAAATATCTGCCATAACATCAAGTTTACCTATAATTATTAAAAGCTAATTAAGTTTATGTTCCTACCAATAATTAACCAAAATGTGATTGTACAGTTAAGCAGGACCATTGGAATAGAAGTTCTGCTATGATGTGATAATGGATCAGTAGGAATAAACTAACATCTTATTGTGCATCAAAGAAAAGGGATTTATTACTGTGGTATTGAATGGTTTATTGTACCAAGACAGTGATGGACTATCTTAAATAAGAAATCACCAAGGTCATGGTCATTCTCATGGTTCACTCTAATTCCCACAGAACACTTGAGATTACTTGAACATATTGTTACGTCTCCGTTTGTTAATTAACTTTCCGTAACTTCGTTCCGACGAAACTTTAGCGACACAAGTCCTTACTTAATAAAACTGGTTTATTCTTTCTGAATACACTTTACGATACACTTATTTTCAACAATCGCGCTAAAACAAATGCTATATCAACGAACGTCAATAATACTTCTGACTGCAGTTCAATTACTCACTATCTTCACACACACATTACATTATTATCCCGTCACGTTGTCACCCTCTTTTATATACCAGACTACCCTACATCTAGTAAATACTAGAGCATTCGCCAAAGTACAGGATAGTTCTAGAAAGTAGAGGGCGTAAGAATAGTCACGTGATCTCGATGACACAACAATATTGTAGGACAACACCTCAACCCAGACTCCAACTTAGAGAACTTGGCATTGCAATGGCTTATGAATGGTCCTCTCTTTATATTATCTGTTAACTGATTATAAAGCATATGCTATACATGCAGAAACCATCAAAGCCATGAAGGCTCATACTCATTATCAAGTATCTCTTTTGTACCAGGTGTGACAACAATCAGACACAATGATTCAGTGAGTCTCAGGCTCTGACCAACCATATTCAGCAGGTTGTAACTAGCAGTATATTGCCAATAAAACAAATTCAATAACTTTATTCAGTGACTAGCACTCCTACAATATACATATTTTCAGCTCTGCTATTTTGCTGAAGAACAATTTAACTATAAACTATTGTCCCTTTACTTATACGTGTTTTAATATATAATGTGTAAAAGGTTATGCAAGTACAAAATTTGTAAGCATTTGGGTTTTAAAATAAAATTCATTATTTATTTATGAAAAAATAAATACAAATTACACTAATAACAGTACATGACTCATGCCTATAAATAACCACAGTTTTATCATTCATGATGTTAGAAAAACACATAGGTTAAAGACATCAATTCAACACAAAGATACCATATCCTATAACCCTAGCACTTTCAGATATCCTATAACCCAAGCATTTTCAAAAGTTGAATTTTTTTTTCTTCTTTGGCATAAACTGGAAATGACTGTGTAAAGCAGTTTTATCGTTTTATCTTAAAAAATCATTCAATTCATAAAACAACAGCAAAAAAACAATACAAGATACAGAAGTTGAAAGACCCACTCCAACATCAATCTGTACTTTATTAAAACCTATAACAGTTGTGGCTAACCACAGTCTGCTGAGCTGCATTCAGCCCAGGATTAACCGAGGTTTTCCCTGTATCTTAAAAATAAATAACTTATCAAAACAACACAAGCAGTTTGCTACAGTTAATGCTATCTGTTAGTGATAACAAGCTTAGTCAGATGCATTGATTGTAGGAAAATTAATACTATCACTTTCATTACATTTTGTATACTTTTATAATCAATAGAGATAGTGTACTCATTACTTTAATTTGTGTGTGTGTGTGTGTGTGTGTGTGTGTGTGTGTG